ACCAGATCCTTTGGCAGATCTCCCATGGAAATAGTTCCACTCATATCATGAGAAACAAGAAAAGAGAGATTTCCTAATTCTTTAGGACCTCTAAGACCCATCACCCATGTTCGAAACATCTATTTCACTTGCTCTCTTGTGGAAAGCGCTGCAAGTGATTCCAAACCAGTAGCAAACTAGAATAGAAGTAGACCAACTGTTTGCCAAGACACCTTGAGGGTCTTAAGTGATTTGAGCCTTCAAGCCTTCAGGGCAAGAAGGGCGAATTGATCAGTGGTGATAGTGGTTGCTGCCATGGCTTAGCAAACCAGTTGCCCAAAGACCAACAGTTCAAGAAAAAAGAGGTGCATGCTTCTCACTGAGCATATCTCTGGCTTTTGAGTTATGGGATTAATGAAGATACCACTAACATAGTAACATACTGAACCACAAAGAGAGTGAAGCTTTTGTATGTGATTATAGGAGCTGTCATGCTGTCTTTGCCAGTGAGAAGACAAATTTGTGCTGCAAGTGACAGAAACTATTGAAAATTGAAATAAAGAAACTTTCTGATATGTTGAGAGTCAATATTGGAGGATTAACAAATGTACGAAACCTAAGCCAAATGATGTACTAGAAACGAACCCAAAGTTTTTTCTAATTTTTTATGTTTGTTACTAACTGCTACTTGGTCCAGTTAATGTTGGATTTTTACTGGAAATTGCTTTCTTCTTGGAGTCACTGGATTTTAGTTGCCAAGTGTTAGTGATTGGGCGGGTGATCTAAGTACTTGGGAAAGGAGTTTTCAGTCTTTTAGTTTTTTTTTTTCACCAATTAGGACCCACCTTAAATATTTAGGTTTTAAGTCTCAATTTCAATTGTGACTTGTGAGCCAGCGAAAATCTGGACTGTATTTGTGCTTTCAATCTGCAGTCAAGCTGTTAAGCATTTAACTTGGTAACCAAAAGAGCCCATAACTTGTAGTTCAACATTTTACACTGCTCTTCATCGACTCTTGAAGCTGATTCTACATAATAATGATCATCAATATTATACAAGGCATTCTTCCATGCCAACTTCAGTACACACTTATATGTTAAAGGACACACACACACACAAAAACTTTAAACACGCACAAAAGAAAAGCACAATAAACAAGAAAAGTCCAAATCTCGGACCAAATATTGGTTGTCATCTCAATTGGTGTCACCCAGAGGAAAAGGCGGCACTACCTGTTCAAAATTAAAGGGGATCAAACTTGATTTGGCTCATTCATTATGGATACGAATGCAAAAATATACTAGTTGTAACTGAGACTTGAGTTATTTTTATAATTTTCCTTCGATAAATGAAACTCTTAATTTCTTGCACTTTAAATTTCTTTCTTAGTTTCATTGGACCTTTGTTTTCCTTTTATTTTGCCTTCTTAAATTAAGACTCTTTAAAAAGATGTCCTTCAATTCAGTTATTTTTTTTACTACAAGGGAGATGTTTGTATGAAAGAAAATGCTCATTTTCTACATTTATATATGGTATAGACAAGAAAATAATCATTTTCATGCGGAAGACATGAGAATATCGATGAAAAAGCTGGATACTTACCATCATATAAACCTTGCTACATCATTTGCGAAGAAATTCCAGCTTGATCTTCTTGATATTTGCCAGGACATCTTTCATGTTCAGCCTCTCATTAGGAGATTCAGCTGTGCAATTCAATGCCAACTCCAAAATAGAGGACACACAATGTAACTTTTTCTTGAAATCAATCTCTTCTGGTTCCAATAAGGTGGCATCAATAATATTCTCTGGTGTTGCAGATTGAATTACAGAACCAACTCCTCATGCTCAAATTTTCTTGAAACATTTCATCATATGGCTTTTTTCTTGTGAATGTTTCCATGAGCATTATGCCGTAGCTGTACACATCACATCTTCTAGAAACTAATCCTACTGATCCAATGTTACTAGAGTAAATTAGTTTCTTAACAAACTAAATAAATGAACGAAAGTAATATCTTTGTATTTGGAAGATATTAAAAAAAGTTAAAACTATCTTGAGTAGATAAATGGTACATTCTCTGGCTTTCACATCTCCAGCAACCCTTATCAGATATGGCATTATTAGTCCAAAAATTGGGGCTTTAACTAGGGCAAATGAGGCATCTATTCCGAGACCATTATTCAGAGTTCGGGCTGTGCAAGATAATGGCGGAGGGCCTTGGCGGCTAGTTGATATTATCCGTGTCGTGCCAGAGATTTCAAGAAATTATTTTAAAAGCCCATCAAGGAGGGCACTATTTGGAGGTATGTCATTGCTGGGTGGATTTTATGTGGCTCAGACAATTTCTCTATCTTTTGGTGCTTTAGGAGTCAATGATGTCATTGCTGCTGTAGTCTGCGTCTTAATTACCGAGTATGTTGTGATGCGGTTCTATTACAGTCGGCCTAAAGTGACTTTTCCTATTGCTCTTTTGAACAACTTCAAGATGGGTTTTACTTATGGTCTGTTCATTGATGCTTTCAAACTTGCCAGCTGAACTAATTGTCTCAGTTTTGCAGCAGTAAGTAAATTTTACCGTGTAGTTTCCCCCTTTTGTTGTATATCTTACTATAAAAGATCAACTCTCTTACTGCTGGAAATTAAAGCATTATGTAATGTAAAGCATTTTAAAGCAATGCCTTGACAATGGGGCGGTGCGGGTGCGGGGCCGTACAGTTTTAAGCATATGCGGGGCGGGTTTAGACATATGCGGGTGCGGGGAGGAGCAGGGCGGGTCAAAATATTTTTTTTTAAAATTCTTTGCGGGTGCGGGTTTTAACTTTTTGCAAAATTATAACCTTTCAGCTATTGCTAATATTATTACAACCTGGAAATATTTACCTTTTCAGTTTTGAACTTGTGGTTCTTTTCTCCTATGCATTAATTATTTTAGCCTCAAACTAATTTAGTTTTTACGAGGAATATATTTCATATTGGACATTTATTTAGTTGACTGTAAATACATAATTTTCTGGTATTTGCATCTCTGGGAAGAAAATATTATATTATATATTTTTAGTGTTTTAAAGTCTCACTTTAACTGTATAGTTACTTTATTTGAGTCAAGTAGATAATTAGTAGAAATGACATCTGATCTCATTACCTTCTACGATACATCTGAATCACTAGAAATGACATACTAATGTATCAAACTAAATTCAAATATTGATGCATGTAAAATAAAAAATAAGTATATTAAAAAACTTTAAAACCGAACACTGTTAATAGTTAAAACTGACAACATTCGGTAGGATTTGTAGTTATGGGCTTATGGCTATTCAAAATTGGACTTCTTTGGTTTGCAACTTGAAGTCCAACGATAACTTTTAGATTGGCAGTGCATATATAAATATAATTGAAAATAAAATTAAATAAGATAAAAATATTACTAATAATTTTGAAGAGCGGAGCGGTGCGGGTGTTAATGCGGGGCGGGTGAATGCGGGTGAANACAGGGTCTAGTAGATTTCATAATACATATACAGGGTATATGCCAAAGCAGTTTTGCCGAACCCGTAACTTCTATAGTGCATCCATCCCAGCCCTAATGGCTAATAGTTCTACAACACCATCCTTTTTTTTTTTTGCTAATCAGCATCTGTTATGAAAAAGATTCTATGAAAAAAGTAACAGAGTCGGGTCTTGAACTTTGATGTCTATGTATCAATTAAGTAAAGTTAAATCTACTGGTCAGTAGATAGGGTCCAACAAGATTTTGCTTAACTTGTGATCTTTTTCAGAGTGTACTGCATTGTTTGAGAAGCTGAAAGAACCTGCTTTCGATGGATGTGTTAGTCTCACCCTCTGGAATTTCTCTTCGTTGGGAATATAAGATAGGTCCAAAACCTCAAGGCGTGACAGTTTGGAAAAGAGGGCCATTGAAACCTATATTTATTTCTTAGAGTCAAAACTTGAATCCTATTCAAGAAACCAACCACTATGGTAGTTGCCCATTGAAGTTGTTCTAATCTAGTTTGATGCTTCCTTGTCGTCATTAGTTAACCAGATCTTCTGGCAGATATCCCATGGAAATAGTTGCCACTCATATCATGAGAAACAAGAAAAGAGAGATTTCCTAATTCTTACCTCTAAGACCCATCACCCATGTTCGAAACATCTATTTCACTCACTCTCTTGTGGCAAGCGCTGCAAGTGTTTCCAAACCAGTGGCAAACTGGAATAAAAGTAGACCAATTGTTTGCCAAGACACCTTGAGGGTCTGAAGTGATTTGAGCCTTCAGGGTAAGAGGGGCGAATTGATCAGTGGTGATAGTGGTTGCTGCCATGGCTAAGCGAACCAGTTGGCCAAAGACCAACGGTTCAAGAAAAAAGAGGTGCATGGTTCTCAGTGAGCATATCCTGGTTTTTGAGTTTTGGGATTAATGAAGATACCAATAACATACTGAACCACGAAGAGAGTGAAGCTTTTGTATGTGGAAAGTGTGATTATAGGAGCTGTCATGCTGTCTTTGTCAGTTAGAAAACAAATTTGTGCTGCAAGTGACAGAAACTATTGAAAATTGAAATAAACTTACTTTCCATCTGTTAATGAGTCGATATTGGAGGATAAACAAACAAAGGTATGAAAGCTAAGCCAAAGTAATGTAGAAATGAATCCAAAGTTGTTTCTAAATTCTTATCCTTATTATTAACTGCTACTTGGTCCAGTCAATGTTGATTTTTTACTGGAAATTGCTTTCTTATTGGAGTCACTGGATTTTAGTTGCCAAGTGATTGGGCGGGTGATCTAAGTACTTGTGAAAGGAGTTTTCAGTCTTTTAGTTCTTTTCACCAATTTCAATTTTTTGGGTTTTAAGTCTCAAGTTCAATTGTGACTTGTGAGCGAGTGAAAATCTGGACCGTATTTGTGCTTTCAATCTGCAGTCAAGCTGTTAAGTGTAACAACTCCATTTAACTTGGTAACCAAAAGAGCCTATAGCTTGTAGTTCAACATTTTAAACTGCTTTTCATTGACTCTTGAAGTTGATTCTACATAATAATGATCATCAATATTATACAAGGTATTCTTCCATGCCAACTTCAGTACACACTTATATTTTAAAGGAGACACACACACACCCCTTAAACACGCACAAGAAAAGCACAATAAACAAGAATAGTCCAAATCTCAAACCAAATGTTGGCTGTCATCTCAATTGGTGTCAGTGTCGCCCCGTAGGAAAAGGTAGCACTACCTGTTCAAAATTTTAAAGGAAATCAAACTTGAGTTGGCTCATTCATTATGGATACGAATGCAAAAATATACTAATTTTTTTTTTTTGGCAATCCACTAGGCAAGTGCCTTGGGCTAATTTTTTTATTAATAACAGAAAAGAAAAATACAACAACTAGGAAAAATACAAATAAGGGGGACAATAGCACCGATATTGTTACCCATATGCCTTGGCTATATAATCACTC